CCACAAAAGGGGAGAGGAAGAGATGAAACTACAAGTGACGGAGGTAAAATTTTAGAAAGAATTTTTTTTTATTTCATTGCATATTGTTGGGAGAATATATACTTTTGACGTTTTAAAAATGCAGGGAAAAACTTAATGCTTCAAGTTGTGAAGCCATTCACATTACAGAAATTGAGACAAGCTTTGAGTGTGATACTTTTATTCCTTCAATTGATTTGCCCTTGTTGAAATAGCAGCTTTGCTTTGGGCCGTTTTGCCAGATGGATGATGTTAGTTCTGGGGTTAATTGAATTTTTTATTCAGTTTTTGCCCCGTTTGCCTTTGTTGGATCAAACTATTGGTGTTGATCTACCAGACAATATTGTGAGCTATAGGAAAGGGCGCTAATGCTTATGGCTAATGTACTCTTTTAGCCAACATTTCTACTTTCTTACCCTCAAAGCTGAGCTGATTCTTTTCTCCTCTCTACTTTTTTCTTCTTTGCTTTTTGGTTAATGAATCTGAGTTTAAATAAAAATGACCACATTTGTAAAACTGAAACAAAAGTGACCAACTTTGTAGTGGTCTAAACGGCAGCAAACCCGTGGTTATCAAACCTTATTTAAATAAAAATGAAGGTGACCATTATATATTTTCAAATCGGTAACCAAAAGTGTACAAAATAAAAACAAAAGTGTACAAAATAAAAACATAAGTGATCATCCGTATAGTTAATTCATATTAAAATTATAAATGATAGTATATCAAATGCTTAATATATATATTTTTTAATTATGTTTAACTATATATTAAATTTTAATTTTAGTTTAATTGTACACAATTTAAAAGATTTTAATTTAATTACACTCATTTTAAAAATAAATATGTTGATTTATTTTCATGTTAAATAGACATATTATGTGTATACAAAATATAAACATAAAATGGTGTTATGTTGATAATTATTTTTAGTGACTTACGAAATTTGAATATAATTAAATTTTATATACAATATTTATATATTTAATCAAAATTGATACATAATAATATTTATCATCATGTTATTATTAATAAGAAAAGAAAGATACTAATAAACAACAGAAACTAGATAAAAGGTGTACCATCCTAGTTATAATATAGATGATAACACCAAAGAATATAATATAATTGTTACAAATATAACGGCAAAGTGTAGGCGTTAGCATTAGCTGAATAATAATAATCAAATAACGGAAACAACACTTTTTAATCGTGTCATGCTAAACCATTACAGTAGAAATAAATTCATCTCAATTGGTGTAATCAATATAATGTAACTTCTCTAAAGTTGACATAATATTTTCGAAGTTGGTACACTCGAAGTTTGAAAGTGAACAAAATAGTACTGCTCTTTTCCAAAGCAACTTTTGAATATGATATTTAGAGTACAAAATTCAAGAGATTCAGAGAAAAGATGATTTTTTAGGATGTTTTGAAAATAATGAATATTATAGGTGATCTTCAAACATAAAATAAGAGTACGGTGTAGTTTCGAAAAATATTTCGCATTAATGACTATAACATAAATGATGAATCTGTCCAAAAAAACGTCAGAATTCATCCTCCAAAAAAACCCACAATAAATGTAATACCGTAATCATGTTGAAATAACAATATATGTAATACACATCAAATACACGTAATTACACAAATACAAACACTTATTGAACTAAATTGAATTGATCGATCAGACGACGACCACAACAACAATACACGCATGTGAGTGACTTGCCATACCACATTCAACAAGCAAGGGAACGAATGACCATATATAAACTCTCCCAACGAGATTTTTCCCCCCAACATAGGATACATGCCTTAAATACTTGAGGCATTACTAACATTTCCCGGTAATATATAAGAATATTCTTTTGGAAAAAGTAAAATATTCAAAACATTAAAAGAACAATAGCGAGAATAGCGATTTAAATACTAGTGGACGTCTTAAACTAATACATAGTGAGATACATAGTTCTTCTCTTAACAAGTGAACATATATTGAACTTGTTAAAGGTTAAAATGAACAAGTAAAAAACAACCTAATGTCTTTAATATGAGATGACTTTTCACTTACATAGATAAACAACCCGAGTCAAGACCATTAAATCATTAAGTGCTTTTGTTTAAGCTCAACATCACCATAAAATTAGGTAAATTCTTTTTCAAATTCATTAACAATGAACCATTCAACTCTGGGTAAGAATTCATTGAGAATAAAATTTCAATTTCTTTCATCGAACAGTGATAACATAAGAGACCAAAGCCATTTTTTTTAAATCGGTGATTAAAATTGAATGGACTGAAAACATTAAAGACCACCTGTATAATTTACCATTTACGTATGTTTTCTCTCCTCTAATTTACATGGAAGAGTAAAAAATTAAAAGGATTAAAATATAATCAACAGGAAATGATGTTTTTTTTTCTATGGCAGAGATGCAGAGTAGCCTATTTATGGCTAATTATTGAACCGGTAACAAGTTGACAATTACTAAGGAAATTAAGAAGCACATGCACACAGTTTCTGCATAATAACATAAGGTAAATTCTTCAAAACCTAACATGTTAAGGTGCAAGAAGAACTTACACTGTAAATTTTTAAATCTGAATCTTCAACACGTCGAAAGAAGACAATTATTTACAGATAGGTTAAAGAAATTACCAACTTAAGTAACAATTCTAATAAAAATGGATTATTTACATGCAGATTTATGAGATGTATGCTTTAATCAGATCTGAATAATTGCACACCAATCCTGTCTCGGACATGTAATCTTACCGTTGTTTTTCTCAGCTATTTCTTTGAGAGCCTACCACACAATGACATGACAACAAGACTTATCTAGTTGAAAAAATATTGGGCAATTTACAATCCGAGTCACGGAACTTAACATCAACATTCATGTAAGTCACAAATCTTTAATTCAATTATACTTCTATTAGGAATAAATTAGATCAGTCGTGCTAACTTTAAGTAGATTTAATGAAAAAAATGGACTTAGAAAGCATACATGCATGACTTAAAAGGAAAAGAAACAGTTATGTTAAAAAAAGGTATAAAACCAAAATAGCCTCCCAACATTTATCAAAATGGTGATTTTGTCCCCTATTGTTTTTTTTTTTTGAGCATTTTGGCCCCCAACATTTCATTATGGGCCAAAAAGAACCCTCCATAGATGGAAACCATTAGTTAACAAATTGTTAAGACTCCAAAATAAGGGCTTTTTACACTAAAATGAAACGTTGGGGGGTACAAAATGCTCTAAAATAAATGAATAAGGGTCAAAGTGATAATTTAGTCAAACATTAGGGGTCTTTTTTCCCTAAAATGAGACATGGGGAGCCAAAATGACCATTACGTTAAATACCGGGGGATAATTTTAATATTATACCTAAAAATCTATATTTGCTCCCCTAAATATTTTAGACACTATCATTATGAAACATAAAAAATAACCCACTTTCTGCATGTTGAGACATGTAATACCACAAACATCGGGTCAGTGACTATATTAAAAGGATTTAAAATTTGGAGGATTAAATTGAATAAATGGTAAAATATAATAAATGATTTAGGAAATTGTGCTTAAGACCAATGAGTAAGAATGAAAGGGCATTTTGGTCCTTTGAAGGGAAAGGAATTTAATATTTATTATTATTAAGGATATTTAATAAGGGAAATAAGGGGATAAGTCAAAGTGCTTCTCTTCTTCTTCCCCGTAGTCCCGTGCCCTCCATAGCCTAGCTAAGGATTCTTCAAAGTTGGTTTTGTTTTAGTTTATGGGTTTGTTTTGAAACCTTAAGTGATATAGAGACTTAAGAAAAGTTCAATGATGATTAAAACTAAGTGATTAGTGAATTATTTGAGATTTAAGAAAATGAGTTTTTGAGTGATATGATGAAATACGAGTTTTTATTGAGGTTTACAAGTAAATTTGACTTGTCAAAGAAGTAAATGAGAGATTAGAAGCCTTGGATGTGATTAAAAACATATATGAAAAAGTAGTGTGATTCTTGGGTTAAAGTGTTCTTTAGAGATTTTAGATGTTATAGGAAGAATAAAGGAGGAAAGTTAGTTGGGTTAAGTGATGATGAGTTTAATGGTATAGTTGGTGATAAAAGTAAGAGATTTAAATGAAATTTGGGTAAAAATTGAAATGAAAAATAAACAATTGTTGTACGGGTATCGATACTATGGATTCTAGAACGCAAAAATGGTATCTATACTGAAAGAAGTATTGGGACCATAGGAGGGGTACCGATACTATTCAATCAGACACTTGAAGTTAGGATGAGTTTTAATAAAATTCGAAATTTAACAGTACCTTTGAGTATTAGTACTCTAGATAAATGTTAGTGAGTATATTAACATCATATTTGTATGTGTGACTATGGATGCTTGTGTAGATCAAAATCAAGCTCCCGAGTCAAGAAAATAGAAAGGCAATGATAAAGTAGCAGAGTAGTCGGACTACATCGGTGCATAATAGAGAGACAAATCAGGTGAGTGAAATTATTATGTACATTGAGAGTTATAATTTCATGTTGGTTAATGTATATGTTGCATTTTTATGTATCGACACTATGTGTGCAACCCAAGGAATTCATAATAAGTTTATGAACGACCGTATCGGCAAAAGTGCGTAACCTATGGAATTCATAATAAGTTTATGAACGATCATATCGGCACTATGTGTGCAACCCACCCACGAAATTCATAATAACTTTATGAATGACCGTATCGACACAAAGTGTGCAACACAAAGAATTCATAATAAGTTTATGAACGACTGTATCGACACTAAGTGTGCAACCCACGTAATTCATAATAAATTTATTGACGACCGTTTCGACACTAAGTGTGCAACTCACAGAATTCATAATAAGTTTGAGAGATGTAAATTAAGCATACAATATTATTTTTTTATTACTTTTTATTTATCTTTTTAGTTTTGTTTCCACCATACCAAGCAAAAGCCGTAATGTCTGGTATAGTGGAAAAGATGCGAGGATTGGATTAGGGAAGTGTAAAAGTGGAAAGAAAATCAATTTTAATAAAAGCTAAGTAGGAAAGAAGAGGGAGAGGAGAGAAAATAAAATTATAAATTATAAATCACTACAAATTGGAAAGAAAATATGAACATCAGTTAAGGATGTTCACTTTCATTTCGATTCCTTGATAGGGGATTTAAAACTAGCAGATCAACATGTCAATCTGAATAAGAGGTATCTTCCTTCTTCTAGGTGGAGTCCTCCTCCGGAAGGGTTCTTAAAAGTAAATGTAGATGGTGCAATGGTCAAAGGTTGGGATAAGGGTGGAATAGGTGGCTTGATTAGGGATGGCAGTGGGTTGGTGCTTGGGTCATTTTCAGAGAAGGTAGGGGGAGGTCCTCCCTTACTCGCAGAGCTTTTGGCGATCAATAGAGGGTTGATTCTTATTGAGGAAGTTGAAGTTGATTTCTTTTCAAATCAGAGGATCATTTTGGAATCGGATTCTTCCAATGCTCTAAAGTGGATTATTAATCCGAACCTTAGTACTACTTTGTTTCAATCCTTGGTAAGGGATATAGCTTCTACTGTGGAGAGGAAGGGTATTATCACAAGGCTCATCTCGAGAGCAACAAATTGGGAAGCGGATGAATTAGCTAAAGCTGGTATAGGCTGATTTTTAGGTTTGTGTAATGGTTAAGGTGTTATGCCTTGGTTGTTCTTATTTAGGGAGTATTAGGGTGTGTTATATTTTCAGATTTATGGTTTTCTGTTTTGTAAGAAGTTGTTAGCTGTTGAGGTGTGGAGGTGTATTATTGTTCTAATTAATAAAAGTTAGAGGCACTCTTTTCCTCCTTCCAATGTCCTTCATGTTATGTTTGTAAAATGTAGGATAAGGGGGTTTTAATGAGGCCTTATTTTATCAAAAAAAAAAAAAAAACAAAACAAATGGGTGGCATGAGTCAAGAGTGTATTTACAAATTTATCCATCATTTTTATAAAAATATTATTTATTTTATCTAAACTAAAAAAAGGTATAATGGCAAAACAATATATTATTTTTTAATTTTCTTTCCTCTCCTTTTTCAATCGTATCAAGCAACAGACGAAAAGAAAAGTACTTCTTTTTTTGTTCAATTTTCCATCTTTCCTGCCAAAGATGCCATGGAAAGAAAGCATAGCAACAGAACAAAATTAGGCAAAAACATTTATGTTTTAAAATAATACAACTTTAGCTGAATTATCTAAATACTTGAAACATTGGTGTCAAAAACAAGATTGTTTGTCTATCACTAATGTTCCACATGAACAAGGTCATCAATGATGTAAATTGAGTAATTGATCTCATTGTTTTCTCTTGTGTCGACTTCCTATAGTCTAATCCTTATCGTCATCAGGAAATCATTCCACTAAGCATGACAAGTAAATTAACTAACTTGAACCAGTAGTCAATTTAAAGGAGGGATCAAATTTATCTTATACTTTGCACATTCAGTGTGGCTTCTAACAACCAATGTTGCCATGACTCGTTGTAATTCTTTCATATGAGTTGCTCCCCATGGGGATAGGTACTTACGAGCATATGAAATAGAACGCATGTTGTTTTCAGCTCGTACCAACTCAACAAATTCCTGAAACTCAAATTTGCTCTGTCATAAAAATAAACAAAAATTATTGAAGCTGAGAATTTTCTACTTAAAATCTGAAATCACATTCTAAGTAAAGTTGAATGCCGACAATTTTTTTTTTACATCAAAAACTAAAAAACATATATTTTTAATGAATGCGGTTAAGAGAGAAATTTAATTTCGATGGTGATAATCCAAAATGAAAGCTCGGTTATACTAGGCTCTCAGTTAATGGTAGAGGTTAAATCATCATGACAACTAAGGAGACACGGTGAATGATTGCATACCTTGGATTTCTTCAACCTTGATTTGTTATCCGCACACCAGGCAAGGGCAGGACCCGCCTCTTGATTTCTAAGGCCATCAATAACCTTCTTAGCTTCTTGGAAAACATCAATATCGACAAGTTCCTGGAACATAAACATACATTTAATTCAGGGTATATATGAAATGAAATAAGCATGTAAATTACCTGTATATTGCTGCTTTATGCCAGCTTCGTTGCAGTGTCATAATATGACATACGCGACATGTAATGAACAAGGATCCGCTTCAGCCGCACATTGCTCTATTCAAAAACGTTTTCAGCATCCACGGATTCTTAGTGATCAAGAGGAGCCCGACACCTCTGCGCTTGCAGGTTCTCCATTCGATTCCCCTCTTCCAACTGAATGAAAAAAAAAATCAAGCACCACCAACTGATAAAAGGGGCTACACATCACTTTGGATGATAAATCATTCACTTAAAATCTCTTAAATACTGAAACATGGAACAAATATCCACTCACACATAAAGCCAAACAGTGAAAAAATCGGCTTAAAAATTAAAATTAGTAATAACGCAAATCGAGTGATCTTTATCCAAACTGATTTCATACAAATTTAGCATTTATGCAATTAGACTTAATTTATCTCCCAAATTCAATATAATAATATTTAAAGATCCTATTTTCTGATAATTTCAAATTTCCATAAAAATTGACGAGTTCCATTTTTATCATTGGTTTTATTCCACATATTAATATAATCAGACATTCGGATTCAAGTAAAATTGTCAAAGTTTCATCTTCAATACAAGTTAATTCTTTTAAATAATATCAATTATTCTCTTTCTTGTTATACAAATACACCTATTCTAACTCATATCGGGAACAAAGCAATTTTACCAAAATTGTCTATCTCTAATACCTTCAAAATTTGAAAAGATTACATTTTTTCCTAATTTCAAGATAATCACATTCGATTGACTTAACAATAAGTAAAAATAATTAAAGAGAATAATAAAAAGTTATCTTCTCTTACCTTGCGTTTGATGCCTTGCAAACGGGAAACAAGGGAAGTGAGACTCAAAATGGCGTATCGTTGGAGATTTCGTCGGATTCAGCCACGTCAGTGACGCTTGAGATGTCGGAAGAGACCTCTTTCTCGAAGGTCCGGTGATTGGATTGGATCGTTTTCTTGAAATGTTCGAAAGGAACACGCAAGAATTGATGTTCCAATTTCAAGGATTCCGTCAGATGGTTGAGCTTCTAGGACGTAGCCGGGTGAGACGCGACGGTGATAGAAGTTGGCTTCGTGGAGGCGGTCTCGGGGGTTGTTGCGGCGATCGAACTGCTTCCGTTTGGAAGTGGATCGATTTCCATTTGGAAAATAAAGAAAGATTTCTTGGTTGAGGTCGACAGAAGAATGGAGAAGATAAATGAATGAATTATTAAGAGAACGAAAAGAAAGGGACGAATTATTTAGTAGTCCCGTTCACGCAAAGTGACAAAACGGCAGCGTTTCAGTTGTGGTAATGGAAGTTGATTTAGGGACTGTTTATTTGGCTCTGAATCGAATTATTCAGCGCTAAATGTTGAACCGTTCAGTATTCAGTGTGTTTGTTTTCAACTCTGAATGATTCAATGCTCACTGATTCAGTAAAACAGTGTTGAATGATTCAGCAACAAAGTATATTCTGAATGATTTAGAGCCATTATCAAATAATATGTCATATTTAGAGTTAATTCATACAGAGCTTTTGAATCATTCAGTATTTGAATTATTCAGCGCTTAATCATTCTAAAGTAAACAAACAGTCCCTTAATTTGTGGTTTTGGCCGAACGTATTTATGTGATATTTCCATTTTTTCTTAAAATGGATAATAAACAAATAAATACCTAAAGTATTTCATTTTTTTCATTTAAGTACCTATGGTATTGTTTGGTCAAACTAAATTCCTAAAGTTATCTTTTTTTTATCAAAGTAGGTACCTAAAGTATTTTTTTTGTTAAAATTAATACCAAAAGTTTTTAATTTTTTTCATTTCAGTACCCAAAGTGTTTTATAATTAATGTCACATATCAAATTTTTTTAAAACTTAGATGAAAAAAATTAAATAGTTTAAGTATAATAGAATGTATGGATGTATACGGATAGTTAGTTAAGAGGTAGTTAGAGTTAATTGTTTATGCTTATAAATATTAGTGTAAAAGATCGATTTTGGATAATAATATACTTTTGTTTCCTACAACATTTTGATATGATATCAGAGCATACGAATCGTCGAATTAAGGGGATTTAAATCAATTCGACGACCCAAGTAGTGAATATTACAATCACCCAAATGAGAACCCTTCGCTTGTTCTAACCTCTGCCTTGTTGACTGTGAGCAATTACCAAATTGGGCGAGATCGATGCGTATGTCTTTAATCTCCAAGAACAAGCTACACTTTGTTGATTGTTCGATCAAATCATCGAAAGAGGACGATCCTAGGATATGGCATGGTTAAAATATTATAATCTTGTTCTTTCTTAGTTGTAGCGAACCCTAAGCCCAGAGATTGGGCAAAGCATGATGTGGATCGATTATGCGTACGATATTTGGGCAAATCTCTTTAACAGATATTCTCAATGGGATTTGATGAGGATTTCAGACTTGCAGTAAGATTTATTTTCTTTGCAACAAGGTACACTCACTGTAACTTCTTACTATACGCAATTGAAGATTGTGTGGGATGAGATGTGCAATTTGAGACCTTTAAATGTGTATGATTATTCTGCTAAAGAGTTTATGAAACAAGGTTTCATTCTTAAGTTCTTGAAATGCTTGAATGAAAATTTTTCTGTTTAGAAATCACAAATTTTAATGATGAAACACATGCATACTATCAATGAAATATTTGCTAGAACTGTTCAGTATGTGATGTCTCTTAATGTTCATGTTTCTGCAAATGAATCTAATATTCTGTTTGCTGGAAGATTTGTGCACAATAATAAGAATGCACAATTAGATGATTCTGGAAAAGGGTATAATTCAAAAAAAGTCTTTTAGTACTGGTAAAAAATCCACTTGCACATACTATGAGATTTATGGACATTCTATAGACAAGTGTTATCATAAAAATTGGTTTCCACCTGGTTATAAGAACTCTAACCGAGGATAAACTAGTAGAGCAAGTCAAGTTACTAGTTCAGACAGTCAAGAACCTGAAGTCAATGATTCTTTGGACACAAAAAATGTATCTTTTTCTTTTACTAAAGAGCAATACAATAGTTTGATGTCTTTATTGAAAGAAAGAGAGGCTACACATAATTCAGTATCTCAGATCAATGTAGTTTCTTCAGTTTTTGATACAACTTCAACATCTAGTCTAGGTATGATTTTTACCTTCTTTAATCCGATTTCTAAGGCTAAATAGATTGTAGATTCAGGAGATACATATCACATTGTGATTTTATTTAGTTTTTTAGGAGGACTATTACCCTGTTGGTGACAAATTTGTTAATCTTCCTAATAATCAATTGGTTAAAGTAACACACATAGGGACTATTAAAGTTTCATCAAATCTTACTCTAAAGAATGTATCTTGTATACCTGGTTTTACCTTTAATTTGATTTCTACTTCTCATCTTACAAAAGATGGTTCTTGTTGTTTACTTTTTTCCCTTTGATTCTTGTGTTCTACAAGATTTGAATCTTTGAAAGACGATTAGTATAGCTAAGCTAGTTGATGGTTTGTATGAGTTGGAAAATTATGTAACTCAAAACTCTTATGTTTATGTTTG